CACCCACACACCCACACCCACACCCACACCCATACAAATGGCTCGGACTCGGAAATAACGACTATACAATAACATATATGAACTTTCTTTTTTGGTTAATTGAAGGTTCACATGCTCTAGTTGCTGCTATTGTAGCTGTCTTTGCGTCTTTTATTGGATGCCCAATAAACTACAATTATGAATTATCATATACGATTGTAATGATGGTTAAAGTACCTTTATTCATCTTGATGCGCTGTTGTGAAAATCAATCTCATTGTTTTGTTAATGTCCTTCGAAGAGTTATGTTTGATATCTTATGTCGTTTGCCTTCCAATAGAAATTTTGAAATAGTTGAATAGAAGAATAAATTATGTATTGTCTATTATTATGTAATATCTATATCGGTATAAATGTACATCTTTTGTATTTTTGTCGTTCTGATTGTCTTGATTTATTTTTTATCTTTTCATATCTTTAATAATAAGTATGTGTTGTTATACATGATATAATGATTAAAAAAAAAGTAAAAATTAAAAATGATTACGATTATGTTCTATGCAAAACATTCGAAAAGTAGAACATAATAGTCTCGCATGTTCATGTCATTTGTTTCTTAGAATTAAATAAAGTGAAGGAAATATATAACATCAAACATATGAAATTTCTCCATAGTTTCAAGTAGAACTACCAACAATTAGTTAAGTTTCAGTCAAAGTTTTGACTACATGTGGGATTTTTACTTTTGAATATACTGTCGTTGATATAAACTATCAAGTATTTTTTACGATTACAATTGATTTGATACATCAACAGATGAACCCTCACAAATCAGCAAACCCATGGTTAAGCCTGATATAAACAAGATATAAAAAATGTAAGAGAATAACTTTATTTGAATAAATTCGTAGAAGTAGATCGTTCGATGTTATTGCACTATCTGTAGTCTTTAATGTATAAATTCCATTGATGATATTTATTTGCAACTGTGTGCATAACTCCATGATCTATGATTTTAATTTATTTTGGGTCAACAAAGTAAACACGGTTCGCATAATTAATTTAACCATATTGCTGACTTCTAAAGCAATCGATGTTTCTTTCTTGGAGAGAGCTAAGTCTGAATCTCAAATTTTGTGCCAGACTTGTTTTTCCAGAATGAGTCTACGGAGCAGGAGCAGTTAAAAATCAAACATCTCTTTAAAAAACGTACTCTTACAACGTTTGTTACAACTTGAAAACTTTCTATTTCTCATTTATCTTGACCCAAGGGGGAAAAAGCGCGACTACACTGGTACTCCAATGGAGTATCAATGAAGTACGTACTCCTGGAGTCGCACTTTTTACCCCTTGTCTTGACCTATATAGACTAAATGCTGAAAAAATTACGCTGAAATGTAGCATATCAAAAGTTCTATTAATGTCAGCTTTGACGAGTTTTTAAAGGTCCGTTCTTGATTCCTAAGCATAAAAAATTGAGATATTGAAATTTTTCTAAAATAGGGTCCTTCGCCAGAGCTATCAATATAGAAGGAGACCTATCACAATCTTTTGAAACTGTAAATAAACTGAATATTTTGTGTGCTATTTGTTCGAATTGCATCAGGTCCTAAAAACTTAGCAGAGAACAAAAATTCAAAAAGCCCTCTTTATTTTCGCAAAAAAAGTCAAGTAGTAATAAGGACCAAATTTTATATTATCAAATTAGAAACATTTGTATTTTTCTAAGAAAAAAACAAGACTACATTTAACTTCCCAAATTAATTGTTTTAGAAGTTAGTAATATGGTCTAACAAAGTTTGTGGTCTACATCTTCTTTAATGAGATTATAAGAGTTTCTTCTTTATTTATATGATTAAAATCATATATAAGTTTTTCTCATTTTCTTGTGTTATTAACTATGCGTCATGAATTTTTGGTTTTCTGTCATATAGCTACATATGTACATATCATAGGCATTTTCCTTTTGTTCTGACTTTTCCTGTAAACTTGTTTTAACGATCTTCTTTTCTTCTCCATGATATATGGGATATTTCACCGTATTGTTTTCTCTCTTCCGCTTTTGTCCTATAACTTTATAGTCGTTATATTATTGCGAAGGGTCTGGATATATCGAGATGCATCCCAAAATAAGCTACAAATGACATTGAGATCTTAGAATGTCAGAAGGCTTCAAATAAGAACTAAGAAAAGGAAATCATACTCGATACAATGACAAAAATGATAGTGGCAACGCTGAACGATAGCACATGTAAACGAATCGATCACAAATAGTAATTACATCATTTTTTTGTCTGTTGTTTTAAATATGTATTCAAAGTTTTCTTTAACAATTCTAAAGCCAAAATACTTATTATAAATCTTTTCAAAATGTCAAAAGTATTGTGAAACTCTTCTTCTTATAATAATAAAAGCCAATCTATCACATCATGTTGTGATCCAACTGGTAGCTTTCTATTTGATTATTTGTTTAGCTAAGCCTTTAAACTCATCTTCAGTTGCACAACCAAGCAATGCAGTAGGTCCTACCAAAGATCTCAAATATCATCTAAATAATTATTTGTTCGTTCAATGGAACATTTAATTTTTGAATGTCAAGCAATTGGATATTGATTTGAAAATTTTAACGATTACATTACAGTTTCAACAGTTGCAACGGCTTCATCTGAATAATGATTACTACAATAGTCACTTTCTTTTATTTCAAAAAGTCCAAAATGTATTATTTTGCCAATGATCAATAACATTTCATTCAAGATCTTCTATTGATTAAAAATTTGTTGGTTCCTGAAAATAGGATTGCTTTTTCTAATCTAAATTTTTCCTCCTTTTTCTACTTGATATTTTTCAAAAGCATTCAAACTACTACCTGTCGTTAAACAACTAATGTTAATACTCTATAAAAGAAATAATGTGTTTCGAACGATTTATAATAATAATTTTGATTGTATATACCTGCTGATGGAGATGTTTGATCAAGAATTTTAGCCACTCATTGACTTTGCTTTTCTGTGCACATTTTAATTACTGATCCATCATCCTTATTTCTAGATTATTCTTGAATACTTAGTGTATGATGATGAGAAGTCCATAGACTTGAAATTCTCAAAAGCAAGGGTGTGGGTGTGGGTAGAGTTCTTGACATAAATCTGACCCATACCCGTACCCAGATCCACACACTCACACTCATAACATCGATTACTTAACGATTAATCCGAATTTATTTTCATGGAAAAAGTATCTTATTTGTCAATTTATCGATGAAAAAATAATGGTCGATATTAATGATACAAATCATAGAGAACTCGAAGCAATATGAAGGAAGTGTTTGTCATCATTTTCTACAAGAATCACAACAAGAAGAGCTCAAAAAATATTGATGAACAAAGCACAGCTGCTATTCGATTGTATTAATTATGTCAAGAATGATTGCATTTCAATAAAAATATTATTAGAGATGTGACGAGAAATTGTCTTGCTTACCTATTTGCTTATTTCAATATTGATAATAACATGAGGATAGGATATTGCAGTGACGTTAGGTGTTCTTTTTTGTCATACGGTTATCCACACATGTATCAAAATCATAGTAAAAGAAGTCAACATCGATCAAAGAAAAAAACACGTGTTTTATTGAAAATTGCACAATGTATTGGAATATGTTCAACTATTTCAGTAATGAATCTTTTTTTCAGAAGAATTTATAATTTTTACCCATAAAGTTGATAATCAAGTTAATAAAGCTGCACCTTGAAAATATTAGTAAAGTGTGCATTTTGAGGACGCTATATTTAAGAGATATGGATACGAACAACTTTGTGAAATAAAATTGGTTTGCTTCTGTATATTTGTACGATTCAATTGTATTTTGAGACATTGCTTACGAAATTTGACTTTTCATTTCAAATCAAGAATTCGATTGAAATTAGGGTCTCTTGGGATAGTTTAGATCAAAAATCTAAAATTTCAGTCACCTGTGTTTGTAATCAAGTTCGAAGAAAGTATTCGGTATAGTTTCTTGAACTATGAATAAAATGATTTTCGACCATGAGCGCAGGATATGAGGATTTGGATGTGAATGTGCATATCTTCTTCTGCCTCTCTGGCAACCACACTCAAATTGAAAAGAGGCTGATGCTTGCTTCATCACGATGGGAGATTAGAACTTGAAGGTATGTTATTAGCAAGAGACAGTATTCTTCGGTTTGATTCATAAGGTTATGCTATAATAATATCGAATCATTACGACTAAATTCTTTCACATCTTTAGCTGAAGAAACTACTGAATGAACATTATTAGAGTGGATGCCACACCACTGTAGTTAGTATTCGCTATCACACTAGTAACAGATCTTGTTTCTGACATGTTCTTCATATTGTCTTGCCCTTACTATTAATCTTGATTTTGGGTTTGATCATACTATCAAAACTGTTGAATGAATATTATATGAAGCTGTTTCATATCGGGGCAGACATCCTTTGACAAGAACGTTATCCTCTTCATTTGTCTTATCATCTTATTATGCTTTTAGTAATATTGTTCCTTATCTTTCTATCACACTTTATCTAATTTATAAAGAGGTTGCAAAGAATAGTGGTAATACAAATAATAAAACAAGAAGAAGAAAAGTTCTAACAAGTTGTTTCTAGAAAACGTAATGGATTCTTTACTCTTGATTCCTTAAAAGATAACTTTTTAAATGTAAAAAGTTAGTGTCGGTGTTTTATGTACTGGGCTTGAGTTTGAAGTTGACATTAGTGCAGCTGTGGATTAGGAAGAAAAATTTGAATGAGATTGAGAAGTCCATTCTAGTTCACTCGACACAGAATGCTTTGGTTTCCACAAAAATCCTTCATAAACAATCCACTTGCTTAAACATGTAATAAAATTATGCGCATAGACCTGTTTAATCCATCTATCGGGTAGCTTGTCATAGCCGTAGTAGACACCAGCCAATTGACCATAAATAGCAGCAGTTGTGTCAGTATCATCTCCAAGATTGATTGCGTCAAGAACTCCTTTTTCAAAAGAATTTTCATCGTAACAAAAAGCCCATAAGGCAGCTTCAAGAGCACTAACAATGTATCCTTTGCCTCGAATGCCATCATTATATCCTTTAGGCTTCTTGTACGATCCTTTTGCAACACTCATAACTTCGTGTGTGAGTGCCTTATTACTGAACCATGCTTCATGTTTCAAATAAAAGTTATCATCCAAAATCTGTTCTTTTGTTTCACCTTGAAGAGCAGCCACAATTAAAGCCCCATAGTAGCGACAAGAATCATACACCTTCTGGTCACCATGAGTAATCACACCACTAATTCCAGAGTACTCAACTGCTTCTACAGGATTCCGATAGAAGAAGAGAGGAACAGGAGCTAATCGCATTAATGCTCCATTACCAGCTACTCCGACTTCACTACAATGTACGTGAAATTTATTGATAAGATTTTCATCAGCCAGAAAATCTAATTGATCAAGAGGAATTTGATATTCACTGGCAAATAATCGTTGACGACGTTCAAATTCGCGCAGTGACTGACTGGTGGCACTACCAATATCGAAGCATTGTCCAGTCGAAGACATGTAGCCATGTCTGTACCACCACTTGTACCGGACTAGTTGATCATAAGGTACAAAATCTCGACGACATATTAATGAACTTGCTAGACAAAGAGCCATGGAAGTATCGTCAGTGAACTAAACAAATGATAATATTGAAAATAGTACAATCAGCAATTTCTGATACATGATTAACCGATATACTTGGACGAAAAACAAAGACGTAGAATCAAATACACTATTCTTTTACTTTCTCAATATTTCACAAGTCTTTTCTTACACAGTACATGGAACCCTACTTAGCAGAAAAGGAACTAATGGTATTCAAAGATATTCTAAGCAAAATTTCTTTTTTCGATGGCATACTGTTTTACAAAGTATGATTATAGAATAGTGTGTAAACGAAATTATCTTGATTGTGATCTGAATAGTATTCGTAACTGATGAAAGGAAACTTTACATGTTCAAGGTGTTTGGAAAACTAGAAAAGAATAACGATATTCAACCAAGGACACAATATAAATGCTAGTCGATGGCACTGATACTACCATGCCTTCGACGTTTCTTTGAAACGAGAGTTAGATCTTCTTAATAATAGTGTCAATCTCGAAAATATTGAACTCATATCAAGAAATAATAATTTGACTTATTGAAAAAAGATATTGTACCCACCTAAATAGCTAAATCATCTGATTCTATAGAAATTCGATTAAAATTAAGATAGAGTAAGATAAAAACAAACCTTTTTACCATTTCTTCTTTCAGATTAGTTCGAAAAGCTACTTAATGAAATCTTATAGAAAGATGAAAAACTTTACTTGTCCTTTTTTGAGACCCCAAGTTCCTCCTTCTTGAAGATCTTGTACCGGATGTTCTATCAAGTATTGCCGTGGTCGAAATTCAACATGAGCTCCCAGTGCATCGCCCAAGGCCATACCAAACATCGATCCTTTCACATGATTTAATATAGTAGGATCAATAATTGTAGGAGGATCTTCTAATTTTGTCTCTAGATCTTCAGGAGTCATAATAGATTGGTTGTTTTTATCATGATACTGACAATCAAGCCAAGACTTTTCTGAAACAGAATAATCATTCTCTTTTTCAATAAGTTGATCATTCGATGTTGTGAATATTATCTCCTTACGTGTATCATTGAGTCTGTTTGTGTTGATAGGAGACATGCTCAACTGAGAAATTTGAGGCTCAGTTGTGAATTTCATGGACGGTGATTTTTCAGTGACTAAATCAAGTCCAAAAGACATTTTAAATATAAGATCAAGATGAAGGTAAGTTTTGCATATGATTTCTAGTCCTGATATTCACACATATTCTAAACTAATTACATTCTTTCCAATAATTATCAATTTTCGATGTTACCGTTATTTTTTCATCCATCCTTGTAGATTTTCTCTGCATTATCTATTCTTGTGATTTTTCTATGGTCAATATAATCATGCAACTTTTCTATTGGTTATGAAGGACTAATTGCTTTTAAGAGTAAAAAAAAAACAACTGAACTTAGAAGTCGAGTTTCAGAGATTCGACTCTTGCTCACAAATATCTTCTTTTATCAAATCGAATTTACAGTTTCGAGAGAGAATAACTTTTTCTCCACTTACTAGATGGTTTTAATGATTTAATTTCACCGTTTGGTTGAGTTGTAATCATTTTAAAGTCTTGTTCTATCCAATATGTTCTGTCTATGGACAATGACGAAGTCGAAGGTTTAGCCAATGGCTGATTTTCATCTTCTTGTAAGTAAATTTTTTTAAGCCTATTCGTTAGATCTTCTTTCCTCGTTACTCGCAAACGTGTACCAGGCATCAAAATAACTTCATCCTGTTCTGGAAACTCAGAATAATTGAAAATCGCTTTACCATTAATGCATGTTATTTCGAAAATAGTGTACACATAGTCTTCATTAAGATTCCTAACGGTGGAATTAGGGCCTACACATGAGCTAAATCCTAACCAGACACAATCTTTTTGATAATCATCAGTCATATCACCTCTACCATAGCGCCAAATTGCACCTTTCATAGATGGTAATTTATTTAAAGCAACCACAAGGAGATAAAGATAAGAATACCATGCGTTCAGTTGGTCTCGTTCTCCAGAGCGAAGTCTTTTATTCAGTTGGCTAGGGATAGTTTGATCTTCTTTTAGAAGCCAAATTGTATAAAGATATATAGCGGTTGCTTCATCATGAGTAAGACCATGTTTTGGATAATGCATTAGACTCTTTGCTGTCGACGAAATTATCTCATAGTTATCTATCGAAGATCGAAGTTTTTCGAGTGCCTTCTCAAGTGTTACCAATGGTTCTTTTCCATAGTCTTGCATAGATGGCATTTTTTGTAGCGACTCTTGATGCGCATCGAAAAAGCGTCCAGGTACATAAAATACCTGTTTCGTGTATTTGTTTCGTGTCTAGAATACGACTGTGTATTTTTACCTCTCTTTCCATGAATATGACTTTCACTATTTGTCTTTTTGACGAATTTCCTACGAGAAAAAGTAAAAGGAGAAAAAGAAGAAAGAGAACATGTGCAGAAAAAGCCGAAAACAAGTCGTTTATAACACATTGATATTCATTCATTGAAGACTCTTGTATCTATCTTCATTTTGTTCCGAGATTTTCTTAGCGATACATTCAACATTTTTTATGCCTATCAACGTTGAAACATAGTTTAAGAATTTTCAATTGCTTTGGAACCTACAAAACCGATTACAACCTATTTTAAAATGAAATTCTTACCTCTCTTGATTTTTTCACCTAGACAACAATAATATATGTTTACGAAATGCAATAGTAAATCGTGCAGTATATTTCGCAAGGAGAAAAAAGAGCGAAAAAGAAAAAAACAAGTACATCACAAACACCTTGAGAAAAAGAAATCAGTCACGTTTTTTTATTATTATATTTCATGGCCATATGCATCAAAATTAACGCAATGTCTTCGTTCGACGCCACTTCATAAAATCTAACGTTTGTTTGAGATTCTTTATAACATCAAACAAGCGTTGAAGAAAAAAGATTCAGATATCTAGGCTTCGTCTTTATTCCTTCTAGAATAAACATGATAAGAGATAGGTATAGACATACAATTTTCTGCAACGAAAGCTTGTTTCTTTTTATGGTAATTTTCTCTAGTTTTCTTAGGTTTTTTGATACCACCCCTTCACGAAATTTCTAGTTCACTTCCTGTTAACACTTCAGTATCCATATTCGAGCTAGTCTCCTCGTTGTACTAATAAGACCTTGACTCAAAAACAGTTAAGAATCTACAAAAAAAGGAGTTCGAAGAGATGTTCAATATTTTGCTTTAAAAATATGAACATCTGTATAATCAAGTTCAGTCCTACAATCTACAACGATTTTCACTATCGCATTGTCCATAATCTTCAAATTGACGATGAACCTCAGTATCGAAATGTTCGTCATGCAAAAAATGAACCCATTCATTTATATCCTTCTTCAACGCGGCGTACATCGATGGTGTAATAGATGAACAAGACTGTCCAAAAAAATAAAATGACATGAGACATGTCTTCAGTATGAGAAATCTGTGTAAGTGAAAAAAAGAAACTCTCACTCCACATCCTGCTAGAGCGAATATCAATGTGGAAAGACATGATAAAACTAAATGATTTCAAAACAAAAGCAAAACAGAGCAGCATGTAAAATAATAATCCGTAATCAATATATCTGTCAATGTATAGGTTGTGATGTGGATGATCGGTATTTTTCTTTTCTTTCACACCCACACCCATTCCCCTAGATGAACTTTTTAACAAAAAAATCAAGAAGAATTCTTGGTTTTCGATGGTGTGAAGATAATCATTTTAATTGTTTTTCATGTATAGATCTGAAATCTGTCTATCCAGATCATATATTAAAAGTGATATCTCATCGTCATAATAGATTGTTATCACGCCTATTTTTACCATGTTTTGCTAAAATAGTTCATTTTAAAATGAATTTTTCTTGTACAATATCAGAGAAATATTTTAGTCAATAATCGAAACTTGTTTACGTGAGATATGTTTTGCATAAAATTCTATTACATCAGAATGTGATTCTCGATGAAGATTTTTTCTTCATTTACAGGCATATTCCTTCTGAGTAATTTTGTCTGTAGGATACTTACTTTTATCATTTCATGAATGACATCATTTCATATTGTCTTAGTATTGATCTATTAAGTTTTTCTTTTCATTGTTATGTATAATATTATTATTTTCAGTGAAGAGATTGAGTAAAACATTTGTCTACCTATTTACGATTGTACTCGATTTCTTTCTTCACAATGGTGTACAAATTAAATGAAGAACAATAATAGAAATTTTTTCTTTTATTCATTCATTTTTATTACTTCTTTCGATAAATTAAAAAACTATGTTTAGTCCATGAATTTGAAAATTAATAAAAAAAAGAAAATCTCGAAGTTAGTCTATATATTTATATTAAAAATATTGATCATGACACAATAATAGATTTATCCTATCGATTAAGAAACTTCTAATAACATATTTCAATACATGAACACAATGAAAAAAAAATTTAATATGTATCGAATAATAAAATTAATTCAAAAATAATCTTGAGATCGATTGATTTTTATTTGTCGATATAATTGAGAATTCTAATAAATCTAATAATGTCAACAGTGAAATCATAAGTAAACGTCAATTTTATAGACAAGATGTGTGTCTGACTTGATTTGGTTCCATCGTAGAAGAATACTTTTATATAATGTGGAGTGCAGGTGTTGATACGACTTTTTTTCAACCCACACCAAAATTTTCTCAGTGTGTTAAAATAAGAAACAAGAAAAAAAATAATTATTTATATTGAACATATTAGATATTTCAATTTTAAAAGATAAAATTCTATCTATAAAGAATGAGAATTTATTATTTTACATAGATGTTATGTTAAAATGTTTTTTTTATGATGATATTTATGGTAAAACAACAGAAGAAGGACTAGAATAATTTTTTTCTGAAGAGAAAACTGTAAATTTAAATTAGACGCCAGAAAATTCTTTTTTCGAATAAAATTAAATGTTATTCAACGTAATGAACGACATAAACAAAAACAAACGAATAAAATATAATATTATTTTAGTTGGTTATGTTAAGATTTCATTATTAATAATAAATGAAAATCAATAAATTAAATAACGATATCAATTACAAATAGTATCTAGTTTTATTGTCACAGGAAAGTGTAAATTATGAAGATAATTGAAGCAAAAATATCAAATGATTGAGACTTTGTCAATTGAATTCCATTTATATTTGCAAGAGATTTAATTCTAATATTTATTTATAAGATAAGAATCAAATTGAGATGTTTCTGTAGAATGATGACAAATTAACATGGATATATAAGATATTAACTTCATTTACGAAAATGAAGTATTCGACTGTTCATTTATCACAGTTATTCTAGTTAGTCAGGATATTTAGGTATGAATAAGAAGAAGAATATACCTCTCGATATGAAAATCACTTTGAATTTTTTTTCTATTTACAGTAAGTATCTATTCAGTATCATAATGATAAGCTATACCAATGATTATAGTCGAATATTATCAGCTACCATCATTAATATAAAATCAAATCATATGAACTTTTTTTGTCGAACAAAACTTGTTTTTAATAAATCCCGTCATTTTCATTTCATCACTGTTTACATAAGATTCGCCTACTTGACGAAATATTCAATAGTGATGGATGAAATTCTCTTTCGCCGAACTTTCTATTATTTTTTGTGCAATAAAATTATACCATGCAACGTTTTCTCTTATTGACATAAGAAGCGAACAAAGAAGAAAAAACCTTGAAAGTCAAATAAAAATGGTGACTGAAATAGTTGACGAACGAAACTTACAAACAAGCATTATTTGCACAGGTAAAGTTGTCTAGCTGTTTGTCTCTCACGCTTCGTTTTTATTCTCCTTAGTAAGAATGAATTTTTTTCTAATTCATTTAGCAATAGGATTTCATTAGTCTTCTATAATTTTTAATTAAATTGAATAACAATCCATCTAAGAAAAGGACGGGGGGCGATTTCTACAGAAATCGGCCCAATTGAATTTTAATGATCTGCTCGGGTAGAAACACAGGAAATGATGGTAGCTGATAATATTTGACTATAATC